CACACACAATGTAAGCAATAAAATTAGGGAAACAAATCAGGGTTACTTCTATCCCACTAAGATTGGCATTGGGAAAAAAAAAAAATCCCCTGGGCAAAGGAAGAGAGCAAGAGACAGAATGCTGTGGTTAAAGAAAAAGCAGAATATCTCAGTTCAATCACATGATGGAGGGTATTCTCACATCATAAGTGAAAACTAACTTCATCTACCTCCTGTTATTGAGGGGATTTATACAAGTTCAATGTCTCCAGATTACACATACAACCTAACATGAGCAGTCAGATCGTTAACTTTGCCCCATTTTCCTCTTCACAAAGTAATAAGACAATAAGAAATGCTTCGAAAGTAAAAAAAAACCTGAGATATAATGGGATATTATTGAACAAAGACATTTATATGTGCTCAAGACTCCAAAACGTCAAGGCAGTAAAACATTTATCTGTGGCATAGGAAATATTTCCTGTGATACCAAAAAGCACTTAAATAAAATGGCGAGTACTCAGTTCTCAGACTTGGCACATTCCCTAAATCACTCCTCATACGCTTCTGCTTTTTCATAAGAGACTCAATAGCAGGAACATTCCACTGCATTCCATCTGCAATCAGCTATAATCCTGTGCACAGCAGGCCAGGCCCGCTTGTCAGCATCGCAGCCTTTCTAATGCAGCTAACACATGTGGCTATAGAATACTCATTTCCAACAATTCTATGTTCAAAATACATACACTCTTCCAATCTAAACCCAGTGGATTTTTTTTTAAACACGCTATTAATACTTTCTAAACATAGAATCTTTCACGCAAATACCTCACTTAAAATCTCTCACTGAAAAATTATTTTGATTACATATCAGTCAAATTATGTAAAATTGCCACAGAAGATCTAAAATAGAAACAGAAAACCTAAGTTAAAAACAAAATGCCAAAAACTCTAGAGAAAACACTTCCACGTATGTAGTGCAATAGATAAAACAGCTCTCATGTGATTAGTTACTTTCCAAGAACAGATAACTTCAGGAACCAAAATGATCCCAATCTCTAAGCCATGTCAAAGTTAAATGTTTCACTAAAAAACTAACCCCAATTTTTTCAAGGCATTTCATCTAACGAGATTTTTTTGTGTGCAGTAGAGACAGGGTCTCACTATGTTGCTCAGACTCATCTAGAACTCCTGGGCTCAAGGGATCCTCCTGCCTTAGTCTCTGGAAGTGCTAGACAGTGGTTCTCAACCTTCCTAATGCAAAGATGTATTTTCTTTGTTACGAAGGGGTCGCAACCCACAGGTTGAGAACCACTGTCTAGGATGACAGGCATAAGTCACCAAGCCTGGCCTAATAAAGATATTATTTCAGTAAACTAAAGTCAATTTAAAAGTCACAAATTTCTCCTGCTGAAATTTCACCTGCAGGGAAGCACTATGTTATAGTCGGCTGAGGGTCAGGAGTACCGTTATCTAGTCCCAACACTACCACTGGTTTATTTTCTGATGCTCTACTCATATAACTGTTTATAACAGTTACTGAGCATATCATTATACATGTACTAGATACTTGCTAATAAATAAAACCCTATTGGCTCAGCGCCTGTGGCTCAGGTGGCTGAGGCATCAGTCACATACACCTAAGGTGGCAGGTTCGAATCCAGCCCAGGCCGCCAAACAACAATGACGGCTGCAACCAAAAAATAGCTGAGCCTTGTGGCAGGTGCCTGTGGTCCCAGCTACTTGGGAGGCTGAGGCAGGAGACTGGCTTGAGCCCAGGAGTTGGAGGTTGCTGTGAGCTGTGAAGCCACAGCACTCTACCCAGGGGGATAGCTTGAGACTCTGTCTCAAAAAAAAAAAAAAAAAAACCCTATTAACTTAAATTGATATTCAAAATCTCAAAGGAAAAAACTCTCACAAATTATAAACATGAATTGTATTATTCAGGTATTTAGAACATACAGTGCAATCAGGCTGTTATCACTAATTAAAAGAGGAAAAATGACCTTAGAAAAAGATGCTGGTGCTTTAACTACCTCTAGAAAGTAACCAAAACTATCTTCAAAATGAAACGTAATACAACTTGCTTTCAGGGAGAAGAACTGGGTTGACTATGCAATAAGACAAGAGAAAGTCTTTGTATTACATACTCTTTCTATTTTTTAAATTTCATGTTATGTGAGTGAATGTTTCATGTATTCATAAAAATAAATCAAAAGTGGGAGGAAAAGAGAATGGTGCTATTTGACTTTGACAATAACCAATTTAAGATGTGGGCATTCTAAAATTATCTGTCATTAAGAAAAATTATTGGCTTGGCACCATAGAACAGTGGCTACGGCACCAGCCACACGCACCCAGGCTGGCCGGTTCAAGCCCACCCTGGGCCATCTAAACAATGACAACTGCAACAACAAAAAAAAATAGCTGGGCATGGGGGCAGTGCCTTTGGCTCAAAGGAGTAGGGCACTGGTCCCATATGGCAGAGGTGGTGGGTTCAAACCCAGCCCCGGCCAAAAATTGAAAAAAAAACTAAAAAATAGCTGGGCGTTGTGGCGGGCGCCTGTTAGTCCCAGCTACTTAGGAGACTGAGGCAAGAGAATCACTTATGCCCAAGAGTTGGAGGTTGCTATGAGCTATGATGCCACAGCACTCTACCAAGGGCAACATAGTAACATTCTGTCTCAAAAAAAAAGTAAAAATTATTAGTATCATTACTTATATTAATAAAAAATTTCCATTTACTTTAATTGTTTGTGTTTGGTTTTTTTTTTGAGACGGAGCCTCAAGCTGTCCCCCTGGGTAGAGTGCCATGGCTTCACTGCTCACAGCAACCTCCAACTCCTGGGATCAAGCGAGTCTCCTGCCTCAGCCTCCCAAGTAGCTGGGACCACAGGCACCCGCCACAATGCCTGGCTATTTTTTGGTTGCAGCTATCATTGTTGTTTGGCAGGCCCAGGCTGGATCCGAACCCTCCAGGTTAGGTGCATGTGGCTGGCGCCTTAGCCACTTGAGCCACAAGCGCCCGCCACATCGCCCAGCTATTTTTCGGTTGCAGCCATTATTGTTGTTTGGGGGGTCCAGGCTGGATTCGAACCCGCCACCTTAGGTGTACGAAGCTGGCGCCTTAGCCTCTTGAGCCACAGGCGCCGAGCCTTTTTGTTGTTGTTTTTTTTGTAGAGACAGAGTCTTGAACTGGTCTCAAGCAATCAACCTTTGCCACCTTGGCCTCCTAAAGTGCTGAGATTAACAGACGTGAGCCACCAAACTTGGCCATGAGATATAATTTATATTCCACAAAGTTTACTCATTTAAAGTGTATAATTCAGTATTGACTTTTGCATCTCTCTTTGACAATTATTCATAGGATATAATCCACAGAATAACTGACATAATGATTCACAAAATAAGGTAAAACACAACTGCACAGGTTATTTCGATTCTTACTTTTTGAATCTTTCAAAAAAAAAAGATTGAGCCAGGTGCAGTGGCTCATGCCCATGATCTTAACACTCTGGGAGGTCAAGAGGGGTGGATTGCCTGAGCTCAGGAGTTCGAGAACTGCCTGAGCAAGGGCAAGACCTGATCTCTATAAATAGCCAGGCGTTATAGTGGGTACCTGTAGTCTCAGCTACTTGAGAGGCTGAGGCAAGAGAATCACTTGAGCCTAAGAGTTTGAGGTTGCTGTGAGCTCTGATGCCACAGCACTCTACTCAAGGGTAACAAAGTAAGACTGTCCCCCGCCAAAAATTTGTTTTAAGCCCTATCAAGTTCAGAGAAGAGTATAAGCTGAAATCTTCAAAGATATACATGAACTACCACATGAAATGATGGCTAAAATATCTAGCTAGATTTGTATGGAATAAACACTTCCCACTGGTAGATTCCTCTGCACACAGGTGACTAGCAAATGGCACAAAAGCAGATCAGCCAGAATAGTTACCTGAGCAGTGACTTGTTTCTGAAAGAGTGAAGATTCTGCTTTATCATGAAATTTCAGAATTAAAGCAGAATCTATTTTAAGTAATAATTTGCCTACAGACCCATACCAAGTAATTTAGTATTGCAGATACAAAAGGAATCAGCTAAGTCACTCAAGTGATTCTATAGAGAAAACAAGCCAGGAAGCAATGACTGATAATTTTTGTAAGAATTTACAAGTTAAAAAGTATTACAGTTATACCCATTGTTCAACTCAAAGAACCACTGAAGAATAAATTTTAAGACAAATTCAAGTTCTGCTTAAAATCAAGAAAGAAAAACAAGGCCGGGAGCAGTGGCTTACACCTGTAATCTTGGGAGGCCAAGGTGGGCGGATTGCCTAAACTTACAAATTTGAGACCAGCCTAAACTAGAGCAAGACCCCATCTCTAATATCAACTAGGCATTGTGGTGGGTCCCTATAGTGCCGGCTACTTAGGAGGCTGAGCCAAGAGAATTGCTTGAGCCCAAGAGTCTGAGTTTATTGTGAGCTATGATGCCATGGCATTCTACCAGGGGCGACAAAGTGAGACTCTATCTCAAAAAAAAAAAGTAAGAAACAAAAACACTGAATCTTGGGGACTTAATATTACTTTTTTTTTTTTTTTGGCAGTTTTTTTTTTTGGCCAGGGCTAGGTTTGAACCCACCACCTCTGGTATATGGGGTCAGCGCTCTACTCCTTTGAGCCACAGGCGCCGCCTGGGCCTTAATATTATTTCATCACATTAGGATTTAGGAAAAAAAATCACTATTTTCACCTTTATTATCCTTAAGATTTCAACTTAATAGCCATTAACACTAGCTAAATTATTTTAGTCATTTATGGTTTCTCAATAGTAAAAAGTAAAGTAAATAGTCCATATTAAATATATTGCAGCAAATACCACAGCGGGAGAAATATTTGATGGATCATTCAGAATAGCAAACTTCAAAGTGTTCACACACAAACATGTTCACTTATTCTGATCGTGGCAAGAAGAGAAGGGAGTGAGGAAAGGTAGGTAAGACACATAACTGACAGAAAGCAGCAGGTACTCACTGGTCGAGTTGCCCTGCATCTGGATGATGCACTTGGACTCCTTGCTGGTCTCTCGAGAATTGAAGGGCCTCACCCGGACAGCCACCTTCACCGAGGCTCCCGACATTCTGATGGCCTTCTTATATAGATGCAATCCACAAATAAAAAATCCAATCTTCTTTTGAAGTTATATTCAAGTTTCCTTTAAAAAGAAAAAGATTCCATACAACACAATTAGAATTAAAGAAAGGAGAGGCTAAAAGCCTCTTCCTATTTCCCGCTACATATCTATATTCTCAACAATAAATTATCAAATAGAAAAAGTCTTTCTCATACCTAAGAAAAATCCTTAAGCTTATTAGTAAAAAATGTAAATGCAGAGTAATAGGCATCTATCCCACTTTCTGTGATTTTAGGCCAATCTTCAGTTAATATATAAAAAATACAAAATGTTTATTTGTTAAAGTTCCTTAAACAGATAACTTTCCATCTGCATGCCACTTGTTACTTTTCTTAAAAAAAAAAAAAAATGCACTGAACTTTCTATATTTTAATTATAGCTTGAAAGGCCGGGCGGGTGGCTCAGGCCTGTAATCCTAGCATTCTGGGATTACAACTGCCTGAGCTCATGGGTTCTAGACCACCCTAAGCAAGAGTGAGACCTGTCTCTAAAAATAGCTGGGTGCTATGGCGAACGCCTGTAACCGCAGCTACGTGGGAGGCTGAAGCAAGAGAATCCACTGAGCCCAAGAGTTTGAGGTAGCTGTGAGCTATGACACCACAACCGAGGGCAACAAAGGGAAACCCTATCTCAAATAAAAAAATAATAATTATAGCTTCAACATTTGGTTAAATGATATATACGTACATATAAAATTAAACAGCAAAGGACAAAGGTTAAGTTCTAGCCAATACCCTTAACTATGCAGTGATTTCCAAGGATACCTTGCATATGTATCTCACTGCCCTCACAACCATCCTGCACAACAGGGAAGGATCCAGGAGACCCAGGTCCTATCCTCAGATGTGACACTGACTTACAGCAAAATCAAATTACATTTGAATGAAGCAATAGGAAAAATGTGAACATTTTTCAGAGGAATAGTTTCCATCCCAACAGAACAAAACCAACACTATTCTGTGAAAATTACTTATGTAATTTCCACAAGACACAGCCAATCTCTCTAGTTTGGAAGAAATCTGTATGTTATCCATTATCTAAAAATCTTCAAGAAGAACCAAAGAAAAACACATACTTGGGAGTTCAATCAACAGTGAACCCCAGCAGAACTTAAGTCTGACCAATTTTTTCCCACATAATTAAGCAGAAATTAGGAACGCTAACCTCCAACTGAACAACATTGCCAGTGCATTCCCTAGAAAAGGCAAAATTTAAAACAATAAGTAACAACCATAAATTCACTCTCTACTTTGCCGCCCTATCTTATTTTCTTAATAACATTTATCGCTATTTGAAATTCTTGTTTTCTGCAACATTGCTTGTCCAATCAGAATGCTCAGAGATTTCCTGTCTTGTCTGCTGACACTTATTTAACAGAACTGTACCTGATTATCAGAGCTCAGTAAATGTTAAAGGAACGAATGAATGAATTCTATTTCCCAGTTATGAGAATTATTTAAGTTCTTTGCCTGGTTTATTGATTTTTTGTTTTTATTTCAAATGATAATTTTTTTTGTTGTTTTCTGAGATAGGGTCATATGTCACCTGGGCTAGAGTGCAGTGGCGCTGTTGTAGCTCTCTACAGCCTCAAATTCCTGGGCTCAAGTGATCTTACTGCCTCAGTCTCCTGAGCTGCTGAAACTATTGGCACATGCCATGTCATACAGCTAACTTTTCTATTTTGGGTAGAGACAGGGTATCCCTATGTTGCTTAGGCTGGTCTCAAAGTAATCCTTCCTCCTGGGCCTCCTAAAGTACTAGGATTACAGGCGTGAAACACCAGGCTTGGCCTTATTTATTTATTCATTTATTTTTAAGACAGAGACTTGCTATGTCCCCCTCAGTAGAGTGCTGCAGTATCACAGCTCATAGCAACCTCAAACTCTTGGGCTTAAGCAATTTCTTGCCTCAGCCTCCCAAGTAGCTGGACTACAGGCACCTGCCACAATGCCCAGCTATTTTTTGTTGCTATTGTTTAGCTGGCCTGGGCTGGGTTCAAACCCACCACCTTGGGTGTATATGGCTGGTGCCATGACCACTGTGCTACGGGTGATGAGCCTCTTGGCCTAATATTTTTGATATTAATATTTTTATATTTGGTACGGTGTTTTTCTAGTCTGTTTCCCATTTTATTTTACATTAAACTAATACTGCTTTATTTATTATATCAGATGTTTTGTGATTGCATTTATCCAATGAAAGGTCAGCATTGTTAACCCTCCCACTAAATGCAGTATGACTTATATTTACTAGCTGAATACTATGCCAAGAAGAACGGATGAAGCATTCAGAAAAGGCTAGACATAAAACATACTTTAATGCCTTAAAGTTCCCTTTGATGTATACGCATCATCTCAACACTCACACCCAAAAACCCATTATCTTCTCCCCCAAACTAACAATTTCTGCCAATCTTCCCATTTCTATTAACATCACTCTCTTGGGTCCTGATACCATAATTCTTAAGAGTCATCTTTGTCTCTCAGCCCTTGTACTAACATTATTAATGAAATACCACATGAAAACTTTTAAGATTTAACTTTGCTTTGCTTTATTCTATCCCTCCCTTCCTCTCATTTCCCATTGACACTGCCCTAATCTATGTACTACCACATGGCTAGAATACTTGCAATAAATAGCTCAACTGTTTTCTGAGCTTTTAGTCTCTGATCCAATAGTCCTTAAACAGGGTTGTATAAAACAGAATCACAGAGTGATTTTTGAAAATCAAACAATTCTAGACTTCCCCATCTACTATTCAACAGTTCTGAGACAGGCCCCAGCTATGCTTATTTATTTAATTTTTCAAAGGTTATACTGCAAATCCCCAACTAGGAATTGCTGCTTTAAGCCACTGCTTAACCACCGTTGCAAAAAAATCAATCTTTCTAAAGCATACATTTCTTTTTTGGGTTTTTTTTTTTTTTTTTTTAAAGACAGAATCTCAAGCTGTCGCCCGAGTAGAGTGCCCTGGCATCACAGTAACCTCAAACTCTTGGGCTTAAGCAATTCTCTTGCCTCAGCCTCCCAAGTAGCTGGGACTACAGGCACCTGCTACAACGCCCGGCTATTTTTTGGTTGCAGTTGTCATTGTTGCTTAGAAGGCCCAGGCCAGGTTCAAACCCGCCACCCTAGGTGTATATGGCTGGCACCCTGCTGACTGAGCTACGGGAGCCACCTAAAGCATACATTTCAACATCACTCTCCTTTGCAAGAATGTTTCCTTTTACCAGCGCTCACAAAATCAAGACCAAAATTGAGATACTCTGCATTCTAGCAGACTCCCCCTATGCTATCCCACACACACATTCTTTCCTTCCTCCTCACTATTTCTCCTCTACACTGGGAAGGCCCAGCTCCAGTATTACCTCTTCCAAAGGGCCTCACCCATATAACCCAGGAATCAATGGTATTTCCTGCAGCACTTACAGACCCAAACACACTGTGAGAACACGGCTTGCTATCACTTCACATGCCTGCCTTCCATCTTGTGTTGTTCTTTAAGAGCTTCTCAAAGTGAAAACCTTATTCCTTCAAAAATCTCTTTGAAATCAGGCTCTTTGAAAAAATGGTTGCTTTCAAGCGTAGACAAGAAATTAAGGTGATTCTAGGACATTTTAGCAAAAAAATCTACCAGAAGTGAATAGGGACGGAGGTCACATCAAAAGAACACAGATCCCAACTTGAAGGATCTCCTACTAATCAAAGATAGGATAACCTGAGCATTTTTTCTTTTTTTTTCCATTTTTCTTTTCTTTCTTTTTTTTTTTTTTTTGAGACAGAATCTCACCATGTCACCCACAGTAGAGTGCTGTAGTGTCACAGCTCACAGCAACCTCAAACTCTTGGGCTCAAGCAATTCTCTTGCTTCAACCTCCCAAGTAGCTGGGACCACAGGCGCCCACCACAACACCTGGCCTTTTATTTTTGTTGCAGTTGTTATTGTTTAGCAGGCCAGGCCAGGCTTGAACCTACCACGTTCAGTGTATATGGCTGGCGCCCTACTCACTGAGCTACAGGCACCAAGCCAACTAGAGCATTTTTAAAAAAATGTAAATAGGGGCTCAGCACCTGTAGCTCAGTGGCTAAGGCACCAGTTACACACACCAGAGCTGGCAGGTTCAAATCCAGCCCGCGCCTGCCAAACAACAATGATGGCTGCAACCAAAAAAAAAAAAAATAGCCAGGCATTGTGGCAGGTGCCTGTAGTCCCAGCTACTTGGGAGGCTGAGGCAAGAGAATCACTTAAGCCCAGGAGTTGGAGGTTGCTGTGAAGTCACAGCACTCTACCCAGGGGGACAGTTTGAGGCTCTGTCTCAAAAAAAAAAAAAAAAAATGTAAATAGACTTTAAAACATCAAATAATCAAATCCATAAGTATATAATACTTTTTTTTTTTTTTTTGAGACAAAGTCTCACTCTGTTGCCCATGCTAGAGTGCTGTGGCATTACCCTCGCTCATAGCAATCTCAAACTCCTGGGTTCAGGCAATCCTCCTGCCTTAGCTTCAGAGTAGCTGGGACTACAAGTGCCCACCACAATGCCTAGCTAATTTTTCTAATCTTAGTAGAGACAAGGTCTCACTCTTGCTCAGGCTGGTCTTGAATTCCTAAGCTCAAGGGATCCTCCTGCCCTGGCTGATAGGCTCACAGGCCTGCCGGCCTATAATGATACTTAAAAAAACACTTCATTATTCTCAAAACTATCAAAACAAAAGAATTGAGCATTTAGTCAGTCTGTATAAAGTATTCCAGGATAATTAAGAAAAGCAATTAGTCTAAGGGTTTGGGGGGTTTTTTGAGACAGAGTCTCACTATGTCGCCCTCAGTAGAGTGCCATGACATCACAGCTCACAGAAACCTCAAACTCTTGGGGTTAAGCGATTCTCTTGCCTCAGCCGCCTACATAGGTGGGACCTCAGGCGCCCACCACAACACCTAGCCTCGGTGTGTGTGGCCGGCTCCCTACTCACTGAGCTACAGGCGACGAGCCACTCTAAGTTCTTTACAGAAAAATTCCAGC